GTGACATAACAATACACACTATACATGCAATCTTGCCTTAGATCAAGGCTTAAAATGGAAATATTTGTAAAGAAAAAAATTCATTTATCTAGTACTTTTCAGAAAAATGGCAATCTCGTATATAAAATGGGCTTTAGGACCCCCTAAATAATAAAAGCTCACAGAATTTATATGCATGCTCCAAGATGGACATATTTGTTTTAATTGTATGCAAAATATTTGATGACCCAATATCCTAGAACCTATGGCATTATTCTATGTTATTGGGACAAAATATTCCAATACCAATAACATCAAAAGTATGAGATTCCCAGAGGAAATAAATAATTTACTATAATAATTGTGTGGCAGTATTAGAAGAGGGGCACATTGAGCCTAGGGATAGAGTTCTATACTATATGATGGAACATTGGGGGAAACTCTTAATAGTGAATTAGCAATGATACCATCCAGAACAACAACAGTTTAAGGATATTCTTCATTTCATTTCATTTCATTTTGAGAGAGAGAGAGAGGGAGAGAGAGAGAGTGAGAGAGAGAGAATCCAAAGCAGGCTCCACACACAGCATAGAGCCTGACATGGAGCTTGATCCCACAACCTTGGGATCATGACCTGAGTCAAAATCAGAAATCTGATGCTCAACTAACTGAGCCACCCAGCACCCCAATTTAAGGATATTCTGTAAAATATGAAGCTAATTCTTATACCAAAGGCTTTCTCATATACAGCCAGTAAACTGTTATTTACATGTCTTTTTTCTTGACTCTGAATGTGTAGGGACTTTGTCTTATTTATTTGTACATTCCTCACTCTAACCCTCCCATTTTTTATCTAACACAGTAGCTGTTGCTAACATTTAGTATTATCAAGTGTATGAATGAATGAATAAATGGAGCTTGAAAGTCACCAAGGAAATGGGAGATTAGCTTTACTCTGTCTAGTTTATAAATGCAGATCATTATATTAAACACATGTATAAGCTTTAATGAAAATAAATAGTATATTTGTTTTTAAAAAATGTAGTGTCAGGGTGTGCCTGGGTTTCCCAGTAGGTTAAGCGTATTACTCGTGATTTCAGCTCAGGGCATGATCTCACAGTTCATGAGTTAGAGCCCCATGTGGGGCTCTGGACTGACAGCGTGGAGAATGCTTGGGATGCTCTCTCTCTTTCTCCCTGCTCCTCTTCCCCGCTCTTGTTCTTTGCTCTCAAAATAAATAAACATGAAAAAAAAATGTAATAAAGGGTCAGGCATTTGAATGATAATGCTTTAGCTAACTTATAAATGAAACAAAACAAAAGCTATTTTTTTCAATTCGACCCATGAAACTGGATTATAAAGTGATACTAAATTAAACTATGGTTTATTTATTTATAAAACTGTAGTATTAATATTCTAATGGAAATATTTTTTTATAATCTGGAATTGCTTTTGTAGATTTGCTTTTAATACTGTGATGCTAAGAGAAAAACATAGGCTTTTCCTCAAAATCTTTCTCTAATGTCATTTCACCTCAGTATTTTATAGTATGTTTGAAAATATATCTAGATGCACTGACTTTTGCATTCTTCCTTTCCATTTTTATACAATGTACCTATCATGTATTTGTTGCTGATTTTTGTTTTATTAATTTCATGTAGTTTTGATATCAAATATGTTATCTGACCTCTAAAGAAAATAGTAAATAATTACTGTATAATTATCAAATGCTTTCACACATATACACATGTATGTGTCTTTATGTATGGATATATAGCTACCACTGAATACTATGAAAGTCTTTTATCAGCCTGTTTTTTAAAAAATGGCAAAATTTCACATGGAAACATGGAAAACAACACAAAATAGCCTATATGAGCTCTAAAATCAATACCATATTCTTACATTTTTCTCATTTAGAATTTCACTAACAGGTTTTATACTGTTATTATAGAATTACTGTACTCCTTCTCCCAGAAAAGGAAATAAGTGTAGATGTTAAAAGAAATCTATTCCTCCCATTTTCTGCCAAGATTATTTTGACTGAATGTTTCAGCTCTTGGTGACAATGATGATGATGTGTTTCTTCCATCTGGAATTGTCCATGGAGAAAATGTCCCTATGGAGAATCTTGAAAGGCTCATTATTCCAATATCACAAATATGAAAATTGGGGCAGAGAGAAGTATAATTTTCTCAAATTCACACAGAAACTCAGAAGTGAAGCCAGGAGTAGAACCCAACTCATGTGGAAAAGATCTAATGCAACATGCAATGTCAAGCTTGCAAAGGTAATTAAATTGAGTAGTATAATTACCTAAATTATAGTACAGGAAATAGTGTCATATTTACAAACCTAATTATATCGAGTAGGAGAATTACATGAATGATAGTAATCATATGGATGGAGTTCACATACTTTATAAGCTTTACTTTTGTATTCTAACTACTAAAAAAGCAGGGGTTTGAAATATAACAGGAACAACAACAAAAGACCAGTCTGAAGCCAAACCACCCCCATATTTAAATTCTGGCACCACATTTTCCCCTTTGTGTAATCTTAAACAAGTTACTTAACCTCAGAGTCTCAACTTCCTCATCTATAAAATAGGAATAAGTTAAAGATATCTGGGAAAAACTGTGATTATTAGAAATATTACATAAACAACACCTATAGTAGAGTTGCCTAGCCTTAAATAGGTATATAATGAAAGGTAACTACTGGTCGTTTTGTTATTAAGTAACAATAGCACATGAACACCCATCAGCTAGTTTTTGTTGTCATTTTGTTTTTGCTGTATTTTAAAAATTTTTTTTAAATTTTATTTATTTCTGGGAGAGAGAGAGAGGCAGAGTGAGCAGGGGAGGGTCAGAGAGAGAGGGAGACACAGAATTAGAAGCAGACTCCGGGCTCTGAGCTAGTTGTCAGCACAGAGCCTGACGCGGGGCTCAAACCCACAAACTGTGAGATCATGACCGGAGCCGAAGTGAACTGTGAGATCATGACCGGAGCCGAAGTTGGACGCTTAACTGACTGAGCCACCCAGGCGCCCCTAGAGTGGACTATTTAATAAAAGGTTTTGTGGCAACTTGTTATCCATATGGAATAAAGTAAATTTTGATCTTTGCACTGTATACTAGAATCATTACTTCATGGATTGAACACTTCAATGTGAAATGCAAACCTTAAAATCACAGAAGAAGACTTAGAAAAACATCTTAATGGCCTCAGCAGAAAGAGGGTTCTTAATGAAGACATAAAAATGATAGAAATTGATAAATTTGAGTATTTTAAACTTTAGGGTTTCTGAACATTAAAAGACACTCTAAGGAAAGGAAAGAAACTGTAAATTGGGAGAATATAGTAGTAGCCATGTAAGCACAAACCATTAAATTAGCATTCAGAATATATTTTAAAAGGCTATAAAGAATAAAACTCAATTAGGTGACTTCAATGCAAACAACACAGATTTCACAAAGAAGACTTAAGCATCATTTTCAATATATTTTACTCATTGGTAATTAGCAAATGCAAAATAAAAATATGGTAAGATAACATTTATAGTCATTATATTAGATAAAAATTGGTAACTCCAAATGTTGATACAGATGTGGATCAGTAACAACTTTTACACTCTGGACTCTATGTGTATATGTGGTAGCAGTGGGTAAATTGAAGAAATTTTGGAAACCAGTTTTTTTGTATTATCACATTAAGTTGAATGTTCATATATCCTGTGATCCATTGATGTAAACCCTGGGTATATACTCAGAGAAGTTCTATCATATGGTTATCAGAACACAAATGCAAAAATGTTTATAGCATCATCATTTATAAAAGGGGAGGAAAAGAAAAGAATTGAAGTGCCCATGGATAGAATAGTGGATAAACTGTAGTATATTCATACAGTGGAATAGTATACAACCATAAAGAGTGAATGATTGCAGTCTCTTGAATCAAAGTGGATAGGTCAAGAAGCCTGTCGTTAGAAACATTCCATTTGGATAAACCTAAAAGACAAGCAAAATTACACAGTACTTTTTCAGGTCACACATTGTGAAAAATACTGTTGTTTATGTTTGTTTGCTTGTTTATATAAAGGATTAGAGCTGATAAGCACAAAATTCATTCTTTGAATGAAATACACAGATTAATACAATGTAAAGGGACATTTAACAAGAATACACAATGATGAGAAACACAATGTGAAAGGAACATAAATTTCCTCTAAAACAAGAAGTTAAATGATGCCAATATTATTCTGGTTCTGAAAATAAATTGTCATTTAATGTATATTTATTTAGTTTTTAGTTTTTGTTTTATGATATATATATAGATAGATAGATATAGATATATAAAATGTATTAGGCAAATTCAATTAAATTTTAGAAGGAAAACTTGTATCTACAATGCTGATGTGAAATATATATCTATATATAGTTCTATATAGATATTAGTTCAAAGTATCATATATAGTTTATAAAATGAACTCACAATGAAGTGGTACAGTCACATAAAGCTTTGTGAATGCAGCAGTGGGCTGCGATGGTACAGAATGGTCCTTCAAGATGTAGCTTCCCGGTAGCTCTCTGAGTATGTTTCAGATTGGCTCAGGAGTTGACAGCTAGATGTCAAACCAAAAGACTTGGGAGGAAAAAATATTTCACCAATATAATTATTAAAATACTGGCCGATATTCATAGAAACTCTTTATAAGCCAAATACCCTTGAGCAACCCAAAATGACAGCATTCTTTCCCATCTATTTTTTGATACTGCATGTCGTAAAATATGGAATAGAGTACTTTGTGGGAGTCTTCTGAAAGTTTAAATCACTATAATAAGTATGGGATCTGATTAAATTCAATGCTGGTTTATTTTCGTATTCACTCCTTCACAGAGTCCTTGTCTAAGTCTTTGAGGAGCTATTTTTTCATCAGTGACAAAAAAAGGAAGAAAAAAATGCCATTTCATTTTCTTTCTTGTTTTTCTTTCTTTTGTTCACTCCTTTTCTTTGTTAAGGTGAAAGTCTGGTTCCAGAACAGGCGCATGAAATGGAAGAGAGTAAAAGGAGGGCAGCAAGGAGCTGCAGCTCGAGAAAAGGAACTGGTGAATGTCAAAAAGGGAACACTTCTTCCTTCCGAGCTCTCGGGGATTGGTGCAGCCACCCTCCAGCAAACAGGGGACTCTCTAGCAAATGAGGACAGCCACGACAGTGACCACAGCTCAGAGCATGCACACTTATGATACACAGAGAGGATCAGCTCCATTCTCAGGAAAGAAATGTCAAGATGGCAAGCCTTACTCAAACCATCGTTTACACAGAGAGAGGACTATGACAGTGATTTTTAATTATTATTAAATTCAGGCATTTCCAGTCTGTTTTTCATGATCTATAGAGGGTTTACACTAAGTGCCACTTATTAAAGATGCTTCCATAGTGAAGATGGAAGTGAACTTGCTTTGACTGTTCCAGATGTGTTGGTCGTGTGAGTGACAGTAAGCAGGTATGTTTGCTTTTGCTTGCACTGAAAATTTAATTGCTATCAAGAGCAAACTATGAGACCTTTTAATTCAGGATGCCTCCAGAGTGAAGATGCAGAAGATGAACTTGTTTTGAAAATTCCAGATGTACAAGGTTATATGTATGACAGTGGGCAGGTATTTGCTTTTGCTTGCACTGACAAATTGCTATCGAGAATAAACCATGAAACATTTTATCCTGAATAGCCACAGTGCCTGAAATCACTTTTAAGTGGATAAAAAATGTATTTTAACTCTGTATATATTACCCTTAAGTCATTTTCCTGTCTTCACTAAGTTTAGCAATGCATTCATATTAGCTGATGAAAATAGGCACTTAAGATGACAACCAGAACCAGCTTCCTGTCTGTTTATGCATTTTGTCATCCCAGAAACAATCAGCACGTGCTTACTTGTGTTCAAGTAGAGAAAAATACATTAGAGTCTGATAGGACATATTCTTGTACCACAGACAAAACAAATCTTATGTTGCATTTTCTATCAACTGCTGCTAATACATTATTAAACTTACCTAGCTCCTCAATTCTTCCTATCTTATAGCTTGACAAAAAAATTATGATCATAGGCAAACCAGTTAACTTGCAGAAAGAGCTTTGTATGACAGATCTTGTCTGATTTTATTTCTTGAAAATGCTAGCTGTTGTATGATTTAATTAACAAGAAAAAAGTTTCCCCTTGATTGGTGATAGTATTGGACAAGTTGCAAAGTAAAATTGACTTCTCAAGTTGGTAGAAGATAAAATTCTGAATGTTTTCAAATTAGATTCAGTAAAGACATTATTTTTTCATATATGATGTATTCATGCAGAACAACAATCTTTGTATTTTGTAAAAAAAAGTGTTTAATAAATCATCCTTTGTAAATAATTTTGGTCTCCCTACTGTGATTTTCTAAATTTTTACAGGTTTTCAAGTAAAGACTTAAGAAGGTCCCAAATTCACCTGCGCTTGCATATATACAAATGATCATAATAAATGAATCATCTACTTTTTCTTTTTGTTTTCTGAAATCATTTATTATGAAAAATTAATCTTTGAGTAATCAAAGAGCATCTAAGAATACATATATATTAAGCCATTTTTCTGATTTGAAGAATATGTGAAATGGATTTTTGTGTGTATTTTATGAAATTGAAGATAAAAAATGAGAAAAAGTAGTAGTATTTACTGTTACGAGGTAAAGGGAACAGTCACACATTCTGAAACTTACAAATAATAGATATGAATCCAATGATTCTTTCTACATCAAAATATCCATTATATCCGTTTTCTGATGTGAAAATAAGCTAAATAAGCTAATCCAAATTCTTATGGACATTACCAGTGTAAGAAGTTAAGAATTATTTTAATGTATTTTGTTTCACACATGATTACACATACATGGGATACCTAAGTTTTACTGATAACTTTATAATACTGTTTTTCATTTGCTCCATGTTGTGACCTAAAATGCTTAGAAATCTCCAGCAGCTACCTCTCCCCACTAATTAATTCAAAATACAAATAGAGAAAACTAGTTAGTAAAAATTTCCAAAACTTTATTATTTAATTAATTTCATTTTCTTTAGAATAGTGATACTGCCAAAATAGATTTGATTAATCTCAATTTACTTAGTCTAATATGGTATATATAAAAAGTATTCAATAAATTTAAAATATTAGATTGTTTGTATTACATTTTTCCCTTTGTGTAATAAATGTTATCACAGCAGTTAGCAGTATTTCTGAATTAACTTTGGGGGCGAAGACCAATCAGATTGACATCTTCCAGGCATAAAACAAACACTCTTCTATCAATCACCTGAATGAATACAAAGTGTATTTGTACTGATGATGTCTACGCAGGTGGACTGACTTTCTGATTTTAAGATTTAAATTCAAAACATCTTGACAAATTGGGGAAATGGGAAGATATAAATTGAACTGAGTTCAATAGAGATAAAGCGGAGGATAATTCACTGCGGGAGGAAAATAATTTCCAGAAATAAGAGGAAAAGACTGCTTAGGAGTAGCTAAAGAGAGAACTAAGGGTTGTGACCAAACAGAAAGATATAAGAAATATAATTTTGTATGATAAGTGAAGTAGGAAAAAGTGATTCTGAATAGCTATGACAGTTAGGAAATGTGAGACATTTGTACTGTGGACTTTATTAGAGAGCTGAGAGCTATTCTAAAATGATGAAATTTGACTCCAGAGACCATGAATCACCAGGTAGGACAGACCACTGGATGACCAAAAGGGGGCATCATTTTATTCATAATAGATTTAAATGATCACCATATAAGATGCTGGAACACGTTAGCACAATGACACACATGGACAGGTAAACAAGCAGTCGAGATTAATTTTCACTAGAACTTACTATCTTTTTGGAGTGTTTTATATGCTTCTATCTTAAAAGCAGTGAATAGGTTTACTAGATAATACCTCAACATCATTCTAGGATCAAAATCCTCTGAGGAAATTCTCTGAAGATATTCTCATGTATTATCAGATTTAAATACCCCAGAAATAGCAAAATCTGAAAGAACTCTACTTGTTTTTATTCTACACCAGGATCTTGGCTTGCCAGGGTATGTTTTCACATAAAACCCCTTACATGTAATTCTGTCTCAGAACTTGTAGCTCCGTGGAAATTTATAATAGCATGAAAGTACCTTTCTCTGAATATAATATAGAATCATGGTTAGAGAGATTTTTCCAGCAGGATTCAGAGGGATGAAAACTACAGAGTTTTTCCAAAAGCTGATCCACAAATTTTTAACTCATTATTAACACAACCCCAATCACCGCTTACTTCCCATATTTATCTAGGGCTGTCAGTCTGTATTTTCCTTTTCAGAGACCTAAGACCAATTTCCTTTTTTTTTTTTTCTTAAGAACTAAATGCACTTACCCCCAACCACAGCTTTAATACACTCTTGAGTGATTACATAAAATAAATGTAGAAATGACTCATAAAATTCAATGTGAGCTTTTTGTAAGATAATATGGTGAGATTAAAGGTCAGATAGAAAAAGTAAATTATAAAAATAATATTTTATACTTTTTATTTTTTAATTTTACATCCAAATTACTTAGCATATATTGCAGCAGTGATTTCAGGAATACATTCCAGTGATTCGTCCCCTATGTATAACACCCAGTAGTCATCCCAACAAGCGTATTCTTTAATGCCCCTTACCCGTTTAGCCCATCCCTCCTCTCACAACCCCTCCAGCAAACTTCTGTTTGTTTTCTATAATTTAAAGTCTCTTATGTTTTGTTCCCTTCCCTCTTTTTCTATTATTTTTGCTTCCCTTCCCTTATGCTCATCTGTTTTGTATCTTAAATTCCTCACGTAAGTGAAGTCATATGATACATGTCTTTCTCTGACTGGCTAATTTCACTTAGCATAACACCCTAAAATTCTATCCATGTAGTTGCAGATGGCAAGATTTCATTCCTTTTTATTGACAAGTAATATTCCATTGTATATATATGTATATATACATATATATACACACACACATATATATATTCCATTGTGTATACACACACACACACACACACACACACACAAAACATATACATCTTCTTTATCCACTCATCTGTTTATGGACATTTGGGCTCTTTCCATACTTTGGCTATTGTCAGTAGTGCTGCTATAAGCATTGGGGTGCATGTGCCCCTTTGAATCAGAACGACTGTATCCTTTGGATAAATACCTAGTAGTACAATTGCCGAGTCATGAGGTAGTTCTATTTTTAATTTTTTGAAGAACCTCCATACTGTTTCCAGAGTAGCTGCACCAGTTTGTATTCCCACCAGCAGTCCAAAAGAGACCCTCTTTCTCCGCATTCTTGCCAGTATCTCTTGTTGCCTGAGTAATTTTAGTTATTCTGATAGGTGTGAGGTGGTATCTCATTGTGGTTTTGATATGTATTTCCCTGATAATGATTGATGTTGAGCATTTTTGCATATTTCTGTTAGTCATCTGGATGTCCTCTTTGGGAAAGTGTCTATTCATGTCTTTTGCCCATTTCTTCCCTGGATTATTGGTTTTTTGGATGTCGAGTTTGTTAGATATTTTATAGATTTTGGATACTAACCCTTTATCTGATATGTCATTTGCAAATATCTTCTCCCATTCAGTCTGTTAACTTTTAGTTTAGCTGATTGTTTGCTTAACTGTACAGAAGTTTTTATTTTGATGAGGTCCCAATAGTTCATTTTTTCTTTTGTTTCCCTTGCTCTGGAGACATGTTGAGTAAGAAGTTACTGCAGGCAAGATCAAAGAGGTGTTGCCTGTTTTCTCCTCTAGGATTTTGATGGCTTCCTGTCTCACGCTTAGGTCTTTCATCTATTTTAAGTTTATTTTTGCGTATGGTGTAAGAAAGTGGTTCAGGTTTATTCTGCATGTCCTTGTCCATTTTTCCCAAAACCATTTGCTAAAGAAACTGTCTTTTTTAAATTGTATATTCTTTCTTGCTTTGTCAAAGATTAGTGAGCTAACCATACGTTTGTGAGTCCATTTCTGGGTTCTCTATTCTGATCCATTGATCTGAGTGTCTGTTTTTGTGCCAGTACTGTACTGTCTTGATGATTACAGCTTTGTATTATAGCTTGAAGTACAGAATTGTGACACCTCCAGTTTGGGTTTTCTTTTTCATGATTACTTTGGCTATCTGGGGTCTTTTCTGGTTCCATACTAATTTTAGGATTGTTTGTTATTGCTCTGTGAAGAATGCTGGTGTTATTTTGATAGGGATTTCATTGAGTATGTAGATTGGTTTGGGTTATATTGACATTTTAACAATGATTATTCTTCCAATTCAGGAGAATGGAATATTTTTCCTTTTTTTTTTAAAATGTCTTCTTCCATTTCTTTCATAACCTTTCTATAGTTTTCAGTGTACAGATTTTTCACCTTTTTGGTTAGGTTTGTTACTAGAATGTTTTTTGGTGCAATTGTATATGGTATTGATTCTTTGATTTCTCTTTTTGTTGCTTCATTGTTGGCATATAGAAATGCAACCGATTTCTGTGCATTGATTTTATATCCTGCCACTTTGCTGAATTCATGGATCAACTCTAACAGTTTTTTTGTAGAATCTTTTGGGTTTTCCATATAGAGTATCATGTCATCTGTGAAGAGTGAAAGTTTGACTTCCTTCTGGCTGATTTGGATGCCTTTTATTTCTTTGTATTGTCCAGCTGATGAGGCTAAGACTTCCAACACTATGTTGAATAACAGTGATGAGAGTGGAAATCCCTGTCATGTTCTTTACCTTAGGGGGGAACACTCTCAATTTTTCTCTATTGAGGATATTAGAGGCAGGTCTTTCATATATGGCTTTTATGATATTGAGGTATGATCCTACTATCTCTATTGTCTTGAAGGTTTTTATTAAGAAAGGAGGCTGTATTTTGTCAAATGCTTTCTCTAAATCTATTGAGAGAATTATGTGGTTCTTGTTCTTTCTTTAATTGATGTGATATATCACATTGATTGTTTTGCAGATATTTCACCTGCATCCCAGATATAAATCCCACTTGGTTGTGGTGAATAACTTTCTTAATGTAATGTTGGATCCATTGGCTAGTATCTTGTTGAGGATTTTTGCATCCATGTTCATTAGGGAAATTGATCTGTAGTTCTCCATTTTAGTGGGTCTTCGGTGTTGGAATCAAGATTATGCTGGCTTCCTAGAATGAATTTGGAAGTTTTCCTTCCATCTCTGTTTTTTTTTTTTTTTTGTTGTTGTTTTTTAACAGCTTCAAAAGAATAGGTGTTAACTCTTCTTTAAATGCTTTGTAAAATTTCCGTAAAAAGCTATGTG